AGCAAAACCAAGCAACAAAAGAAAACAAAACAACAACAAAAAGCCAATAACAAAAAAATCCAAGAACAACAAAAAGGAAAAGCTTGTAGTTAGTTCAAGGACTGCTTGTTGGCCTTTAGGAGTGGTTTCTGGTCGATTCTGATGGGACACCAAACCCTGGCCCCAAAGTCTATTTTTGGTATTCCCTGGGGAATTTGTTGGTCTGTTGCTTTGTTCCTTTTGCCTTCAGTGTTTTGCCTCGGTGCTGAGACACGTCTCATCATTTAGTGAGGCCGACAGCCTCATCTTTCTTCCGTGAAGCCACTAGTAGATGGGAACTGCCAGCTTTTCACTTAGCAGCCCGATGCTTAATCCACTGCACCACCTGGGCTCCTTAACTAGCAGATAAGAGCTCCTGACCAACCTTCCCCAAGGCCTTTTCTCTGTCTGGTTTGTAAAATGGAGGTACAAGGTAGACCCTCCTTTTCAAAAGTTTGCTTCTCAACATTTCTTTAATTGAAGACCTATGTTAGTCCCTAGAGGATTGTCATTTTGACAGAAAGAAAAAAAAGTGAAACCAGCATTAGTTTTGCATCGTGCCATTAGACGGGCGGGTGGGGGGGGGGAAGGGGGGGTGCTGGGGAAGCCCCAAGTCTCCTCCCCGGGAATGATGCTCAGACCTCAGGCGGCTGCACCTGTGGAGGGTACCTGTGACCTCTGTGTGTGAATGCTATTTTAATCTTTCTGTGTCCCATAACATTATCCTGCTCACCGCAAGGTCAGTGGTTCAAACCTACCAGGCACTCTGGGGGAGAAAGATGAGGTGGTCTGCTCCCATAAAGATTTACTACCTCAGAAACCCTAGAGAGGGCTTATCTAAGCCAACGTGGTGGACCCAGTGACTGGGTCTGGCTTGGGTAGGTGCTATCTGGTACGATTCCGTGGTTACTTTTTGCTTCTCAATTGGGGGCCCCCAATAGCTATTGATAATTGCTGCTCTTCAAAATCCAAGCCCACTGCCACTGAGTCAATTCTGATTCACAGCAACCCCATGAGACAGAGCAGAGCTGCCCCTGTGGGTTCCCGAGGTGCTGAATCTTTACAGCCTCCTCTTTCTCCCATGGAGCTGCCAGCGGGTTTGAACTGCCGGCCTCCTCCTCATCCTCTGTGCTACCAGCTTACCTTCTGTTCACCGCCACTGCAGCTCACAAAGGTTCCGGAGGCCCGCTCTGCTCTCAGGCAGCGGGGAGAGCTATGTGACGTGGAGCATCATCCGATGGGGAAAGGAAGGAGCCATTCTGATGGGCTGGGCTTGGTGGTTGCTGGGGGGTCCCCAGACCACTTAGAAAGATGAAACGCATAGACCAGTTGCTTGTACCGTCAATCCCCACAAGCTACAGAGAAGCCTTCAGAAGGCCTTCACCCAAGTGGACACAGAGCTGAGTTGCTACTCCGATGCCTGGGTGCACGCACGTCGGCGGTGAGCAGCCACACGGGGCTGAAGGCTGGGCCTTTGGGAAGCCGATCGCCGGCGGTCTTCTGAGCCCCTCTGAGGGGTTTCACACTGCCCACCTCTGAGCCAGCTGTTGAGGGTTTAACATCTGCAGCCCAGGAGCAATCGAGACAGAATCGCTAGCCACTGCTGAAGCCAGCCCTCCAGGAGCCAGGCTGGGGGCCCGAGGTTTCTAGACCACCAGACAGCATCGCTGCTGGGGGTCGGGAGGCAGGCAGCTCCCAGTCTACAGAGTGTCGGTGGTTGACAGATCACCCAGCTTGCCCCTAAGGCAGAGGGAGAAGGGGGAGAGGGCCAGAGCAAGGTCTATTCCTGGGACCTTGAACTTGGGATGGGTGGGGCGTTCACCTAGTTGCCAGCCTCAGCGTGGACTCCAGGCCCAGGCCACTGGGCTGGGTGAGGATTAACTGCCC